TTGCTTTGGAAACTCAATGGAGGTTGCTTTGGATCGGAATCAACTCAATGGCAAGTGGGTTTGGTTTTTGGGTTTTGGCTCCAAGAGGGAAAAATGGAAGGCACAAGACTTCTTAAGGCTTAATCCTGGAAGTCACAGGGTGCCACTTTTACTACATACTATTGGTCAAAGCAAGTTACAGATTCAAAAGGAACAGAAATAGACCCTACCTCTTGATGAGAGGACAGCATGTATATGTAGGAATGAGAGGTACTGTTGGTGGACCATCTTTGTAGATAAGCCATTACATCTTCCTATAGATACCATGAGACCACCATCTAAGACAAGGCATTCAGTGCTCCTTTTCTAGTAGTGTCTAACAAAAGAGCTAACTTGTCCAGATAGCTCCATTTGTGCCTGCAATATAGAATTAGAAAACAAGATAATTTGAAAATGCTTTGCAGGTAGCTTAGAATAGTGAAAAGGGCCCAGGACTGGCAGTCAAGGGAACTGAGGTCTGGAGCTGGCTCTACCACATTCTAGCTCAGTACCTCTGGGCAAATCAAGGTACCTCTCTATGCCTCAGTTCCCTGTATATAAGGGGAAGCATTTTAATTAAAGGCCCTACAGCTCCGACATACACTCTGCCTCTCCACAAATGGATTTATGAACCATTCAGGGAACAGAGGATCTTGGGATCACTGAGATTCTAAATAGGTAAAGGGCAGTTCAAGGCAGGGCTGGAGGAAGGAATCACATACAGTGTGCAGGGTGCCCTGGAGTCCATCAGGAGCCTGGCACAGAGCCCAGGGCAAGCGCAGCAGTGGGAATGGGCAAGATGAGATGAATATAAGCAATTACCAAGGAAGAATGTCAGGGTTCAGTGTCAGGAGCATCAGGAAAAGCAGGGGACACAGAAAACGTCAATGTGACTGGGACAGTAAGAGCAGGAGAAGATGTGGAGAGAGGAGTGATTTTGGACTAAATATGAGTATAGTGCCTAAGGCACTTGACTGCTAACCAGAAGGCTGGCGGTTCAAACCCACCAGCCACTCCTCAGAAGGAAGATGGGGCAATTTACTTCCATAGTGATATCTCCTCGGAAACCCAAGGTCGCCATGAGTCGGGTCTGACTCAAGGGCACATAACAACAACAACATGAATGCAAAGTTGTCATAATGTTTTTCTTTTCATGTTGAAGCATCTCAGGGTCATTAATGAGAATTTGCAAAATAGCTTAAAAACCAGAAAGAAGAAAATCTTACACTATATTCTCACCATTCAAATACCATCACTATCTTACTTAGTGCTGCCATAACAGAAATACCAAAAGTGGTATCTTTAAAGAATAGAAATTACTTTCTCACAGTTCTGGAGGCTGAAAGTCCAAATCAGGGTCTTGGCTGTGTCACTTCTGCAAGCCTCTCTTAGTTTCTGTTGTCTGCCAGAAATCCTTGGCATTCTTTGGTGTTCGTTGGAGTCTGTCCTTCCCCTCTATGTGTCTCTGTGTCTATTCTGGTCTTTTTATAAGCAGGAAGTGATTATGTTTAGGATCCACCTCACACTGGTATGATCTCATTAATGTAAAAAGGAAAAACCCTATTTCCAAACAGGATCACACCCACAGGTTCAGGGTTTAGGATTTTAACATATATCTTGATGTCAAAATTCAATCCATAATAATCACTTTCAACACAGATGGATTATCTCATGTGTAGGTTTTCTTTCTATATTTAAGCAGCATAAAGTAGTGGGAGAAGTATGATTTTTGATGTCAGAGAACAGTAGGATAAAATCCTGGCTCAGTCATTTTCTTTTCAGGTCTTATTTATTGAGCAAATGTTTCACCTGTGTATCTCATTTAATCCTCATTAAAAAAAAAAAAAAATCTATGAAGCTCCATTTAACATACAAGGAGACTGAGGCACCTGAAACCAAAAACCCATTGCCATCCAGTGGGTTCTGACTCATAGTGATACTTTAGAACAGAGTAGGACTGGACCCTAGAGTTTCCAAGGCTGTAAATCTTTATGGAAGCAGATTGTCACATCTTTTCTTCCACGAAGCAGCTGATGGGTTTAAAGTGCTGACTTTTGGTTAACAGTTGACTGCTTTAACTACTGTGCCACCAGAGCTCCTGACTGAGGCACAAAAAGCTTAAATAACTTGCCTAAGGCCACAAACAAGAAGCTCCGGTGGTGCAGTGCCTAAGAATAGTGGAATTTGGCTGCTAACCAGAAGATTGGTAGTCCAAACCCACCAGCTTGGAAATTCAGTGGGGGTCACTATGAGTCAGAATCGACTGAATGGCAATTTTTTTTTATTTAATAAGGTCACACAGATAGTAAGTGGCAGATGAACAACTCAACTCAGTAGTCTGACTCTGAAACCCTCAAACTCCACCCCTATATGACCCTGTTTCCCACAGAGTTCAGAGTTCTCGGGAATATTAGCAATCATATGTGAAATACTATCTGGCAGAAGGCATCTCAACAAACTGTGGGGTGGCTGTTTACCAATGAAAATGAGTCTTTGTTTCAAGCAAGTTGAATCTGAGGTGAGGGTGGAACCTCCAGAATTGCAAGTGTTGGGTCAATGTTTAGCCACAGAAGCCACCTAGTTGGCCTGCCTAGGCTGTGAAACCCACTCTGCCACCTAACTGTAGTGTGACCCAAAAAGTTGGTTCATGTGTCTGGGCCTGTTTTCTCATCTGTAAAATGGGTTTGTTTTGAGTATGAAATGGAGTGTGTGGGAAGTGCTTAGAAACAAGGGTTTGGGATATTGTCAGTGCTCAATAAATGTAGGGTTTTTTTGTTTGTTTTGGTAATTGGGTGACACATATACAAACAAAATGTGCAACAGGTGATATTCTGTGTTAGGATTCTTGTGTGTTATTAGAGGTACAGCGGGAGAACCACAACAAAACCTTTTACTCCCAGTAACCACACGGTCATTTGCTCCATTCTCAGCAAAGAATCATTGACCCATGTCCATCACTATGGAGGGGCTCTAGAAAAGTCCAGAAAACCTAGCGAAGGGAAGACACAGACCCCCCTCACAATATGGGCAGCTGGGGGATCTTGCAGTTCAGCAAAGAAAAAGTTCAAAGGGTTGGTTTGATAGGGCCAATCAGGTCAAGCTGCCCTAGGTGAGAAATAAGGAAGACTGGTCCCATTGAGGTGCTCTGGTGATGTCGTGCCTAAGGCATTTGACTGCTAACCAGAGGCTGGCAGTTCAAACCCACCAGCCACTCCTTGGAAGGAAAACTGGGCAATCTACTTCCGTTGTGATACTGCCTTGGAAACCCAAGGAGGGGTCCAACTCCACAGCATTGAGTTTGGTTTTGGTTTTTTGGTCCCAGTGGGTGGAGGGTGTTAAGCCATCATGAAAAGGTGTGGGATTTCTTTTTGGGGAGAATATGAACTGCACCAATAATGCTCTAAAGAGAATGACCTTTTAAGAGGAGTTCTTCATTCAGGAAGAGCAATGAGCTTGGTTTCAAGGTTCTGCGAAGGGCAGCAACTCAGGAACATTGGTGAATTATAATTTTTAAGCTTCTACCAAACCAAAACCCCATTAGAACTACCCCATTGAGTTTTCAAGGCCGTAAATCTTCACAGGAGCAGACTGCCTCATCTTTCTCCCAGTGACCTTTGGGTCAACAGCCAAATGGCTTAACCACTGCGTCACCAGAGCTCCTTTTAAGCTTCTAAGGGGAATAAAAATGGGAAAAATGCGGTTAGCTCTTGACATGGAAAAGAGAGGAAACCAGAACTCCAGGGAAGTGGAGAGCAGATCAACATGTGGTAACAGATTCCTTTTCTATAGAGATCGAAATGTAAAACTTTAATACAAGATGAAGAAGGGCCTCAAACAAAAGGGAACCACTATGGGTCAAGCAGGGAAGCCTGGGCCCAGGAAACTGCCCCAGTTTCTTACTGTGGCAGAGAGAAGGGCTTCCTGATGTCGTCAAGGTCAGTGATACAGAAACAGGAATCCCGCATTCGCATTCCCGTAATCAACACCCGCAGAGAAAGGGAAATCATTTCCCCAGGCCGATGACCGAAGGCAAGGTCATTTGCATCGGGCTTTCCCTAGTTTCTCCTCTCTCAACCCCTTCACAAACGCCCCATGCCTGGGGCTAGGAATGCTGTCCGGGACTAGAGAGAGAGGCTGAAGGTAGTGGCCACAGAGCGATGGACCCTTGCGTTCCCGACTTCGCTGAAGCACACCAACCGCGTCTCGGCCTCCGAGGATCTAGGTGCACCTCCGGGGCGCAGGGCTTGCGCGGGGCTTGACTCGGTGGAGTGGGCGTTAAGTAGCCCGAAGACACGAAGCCCGAGGACCGCACCCATAGGCCTCACAGCCCCCTCCAGGGACCAGGCTAGGGGGAGGGGTCTAGGGCTGCGGTGCCGCGAGGAAGGCCGGAAGCTCGGCTTGGGAGGCCGGGCTGTTGCACACTGGGCGGGGGCGGGGCCGGCGGCTCAGGGGTTAATGGCTGGCCCCGCCCCCGCCGCGCTGACTCAGTTTCACCAAAAACTACCCGAAGGAGGTGGCTGATCCCTGCGGCGGCCGGAGCCGAGCCGGAAGCCGGGACCGGAACCTCGGCGGACCCCGCCCCACCCCACTCACCTGCACAGGTAACCCAGACCCCTAAGCGCGAGGGCAGAGCGGGCTCGGGAGCATGTTCGGCCTTTTGTTCCGCGCTCGTGCATGTGTCTGGGTGCGTGAGTTTCTCAGCCGTCCTTCTGAACGTCGGTCGGGCGGTTGGTCACGGGCTTGTGCTCCAGAGGGCCGCCGGGCCAGGGAACTCCCACTTGACTCGCGCTGTGCCCAGGGCTCCCTGGCGCTCCCCTTTACTTCCTCCCGGCCGACCCGCCTTCCTCGAGGTGTCCCGGGCTGATCAGGTGTCCTCCTCTGTCCCCTCCCCTCCCTAAGGCCTCCAGCGCTCGCACAGCCCACAGGCCCACTCTCTAAAGGTGACCCCCTACGGGAGGAGGGCGACGGCCCCCGGGAGGACCATGGCCTGCGCCCGCCTATCTCAGGCCCGCATCCCTGCCGCCGCCGCCGCCGCTGCTGTGTGGCTCCTGTGGGCGCTTGCCTTCCCAGGCGTCGAGGCCGGGCCGCCGCCCTTGACCACCGGGCCGCCGGCCGGAGCTGCCTGCCTGGATCTCTTTACCACCGGGGTGCCTGCCTTCGTGCTCGACACCGAGGCCTCGGTCAGTAATGGGGCCACCTTCCTGGGCTCCCCCACCGTGCGCCGCGACTGGGACTGCGTCCGCGCCTGTTGTGCTACACACGACTGCAACCTGGCGCTGGTGGAGCTGCGGCCCAACGGCCTGGAGGACGACACCCCCTCGTGCTTCCTCATGAACTGCCTCTACGAGCAGAACTTCGTGTGCAAGTTCGCGCCCAGGGAGGGCTTCATCAACTACCTCACGCGGAAGGTTTACAGCTCCTACCGGGAGCTTCAAACCCAAGGCTTTGGAGGTAAGGCACAGGTTGCGGGATGGGTGGATCTGGAGAGATTCAGAAAGAGGGCTGGTTATGGCGTCCTGGGGAAGTGAGCATCAGCGAGAACTTAAAGAGCGTCCATGCAACCCTAACTCCTCCTTAGAAGCAGCCAGTATAAATGGTATGTAGAAGAAAGGGGACTTGCTTGGGAGGGTGACGTCCAACAGTCCAGACTCTGAATTCAGAGTGTTGAGAGGTGATAGAGGAAGACCTGCAGCTATGTGGTGTGTGACAGGAAGCAACTAGCCAGGATTCCTGACTTCTAGCCCTGCCAGGCTAAACCTGGGAATGAGCTGTCTGGATGTAGCCTGGTGACACAGAAAGGTGCCTCTGGCCAAGTACTGTCCTAAGTACCTTGAGGCCCTATCAAATGAGCCTTCTTACAGTCTCCTTCACTGGCTGGCTTGGGACGAGTTAGCATCTCTGCTAAACCCCCTGTCTGTTATCCCCTCCTAGCACATATTAGCCCTTTGGTGGTCTGGGAAAGACCACCAGATCCAAGAGCCTGGTCCAAGCCCCAGGCAAGCGCAGTCTGAGATTGACCCAAATCCTAGAGAGCTGAGGGGGGTTGTGGGTTGTGGGTGCAATAGCCTAGAGGCTCTGAGGTGGAGAGGGAGGAAGGTTGCTGGGTGAGTCAACTCACTTGGTATGTATGTATACCTGGTAGGGGAGGGATTGTCAGCTGTCCAGACAGGTATGTTATGTACGTGTACCCAGCTGACTTCTAGAATGAGCCGGATAGGGCTCTCCCTGCTTAGTATCTGGTAGCCAAAATATCTGGATGCCTTGTTTACCCATAGGTATAGGTTCAAAGTGGGGGCCAGGCCCTTCCAGAAACCTTTGCTCTCCATTCTCTCTTCCTGCACTTCTGGCCAGGTGGGGCAGGAGCGCAGGGGCAGGTCTCATCTGTTAACTTTGCAGTTTACTGAGTGCTGTCCCATACATTCTCTCATATAGGCTTCATAACAACCTCTGAAGAGAATGCTATTGGTGGCCGTCCCACATTCTAGATCAGAAAACTGAGACTCTTATGAAATCATTTGCCCAGGATAGCATGCTCCTAAATGGTAGGCTTGGGACCCCAACCCAGGGTCACTTCCAAAAAGCCTATACTGTGTTTTATATTGCATCACTTTCCTAGTAGAAACCTAGCACTCTGACCTGAGACAACCCAGCAGAGGACAGAGCAGAACCAGAGAACCCAGCAGGGTGCCAGGACTGGATCTGGGGTCTCAGTTATGCAAAGTATGGAAGGGACTCTCCTATCAATCTTCTCTTTGGCCTTTTCCTAGGCCAGTCCTTCCCTTAGGCTTAGGGTCCTCACTTCTCCCTATCCTTCCTGTGGCTCTCCTGGGTCTCTGAGGAGAGATGGGATAAATGAGATGGGGTTTTAATGAGGGGGTCACCATCTGGAACAGGCTAGGCCCCCAAACCTTACTGGCCCAGGCCCAGAGCCTGTTCCTCAGGAAGTGGCAGATAGTGTAGGTGGTAATGACACTAATTGGCCTGCACTGCCTGTGCCCTTCCGGCTCCAACAGAGGCCCCATGGGAGTCCTATCCCTGCAGTCCAGAGCCCCAGACTCTGGCTTCTGGTCAGGAAGCTAGTTAGACTGGGACCACATGGTCCTTGAGATCAACTTTACATGTCTGGAAACCCCCAGGACTGGCCTGTTTGGTACATTTCCTCAGGCATTTCAGGAGCTGGGTAGTACTTTGGGAAGGGGAGGAAGCTGTGTGTGTGTTAAAGGGTCTGTTCTCAGTTGAATCCAGCTAGAGAGGTTGGAGGTGGCTAGGACCCAGGGTAAAGCCAGTAGGGCATCCATGGAGGGGCGTGGAGCCAGGTGCTCAGAGCTGCTAAACCTTTGATATTTGTGTTGAGTAGAGATGCCCTCCCCAGGATGGGTTGTTTGTTCCCTTTTCTCTCTCTGTGGTGAAACCAGTTTAGTCCAGATTCCTGAGGCAGGAAGCTGGAGGAGCTTGCACCTTCCTCCTTGGCCCCTTCTGCCTCTCATCTCTTTTTTTTGGAGGAGTGGCTTTGGGAGGTGGAGTCTGTTTCCCTGGAGATATTGAGGCCCGGCAGCTGGGGGAGGGGCTGACTTTATTGCCTCTGAGCCCTTTGCTCTCTAAGGGGTTGGGAAAAGGGAGTGGTAGGGCAGGGCATCTGCCCCTTGGTCCTTGAGGCTGGGGCTTGAGGGGACAGAGCTGTGTGGGAATGGGATGTTCCAGTCTCAAACATCACCCTGCCTGCCACTTCCATCCTGGGAGCCTAGTGAGGCTAGCCTTCTGCTAGCCTTTTTCAGACGGGATTATTTTCTGAAAAATGCAAGAAGGTAGGAATGGGGTCCTCCCAGCTCAGCGATCCCTTGTGATGCTTTGAGGCTTTGTTTCTCTGGGGTCAGCTTAGGGCCCAGCCCCACCTCACCTGATTACCAGCCAAACCATTGGCCTAGGGGTTGGATCAAGACTGGTACTTTCTTTTCCCACATTCCTGTTTTATTTCCTCTAAACCTCTGAAACAGTTTCCCTTTTAGCACTTTTGTGGGCCTCTCCCTGTACCAGAGAGAGGCAAATGGTTAAGTGCTGCACTACTAGCCAAAAGATTGGTGGTTACAGAGGCATCTTGGAAGACAGACCTGGCAATTTGCTTCTAAAAGACCACAGCCTTGAAAACCCTTTGGAGCAATTCTGCTCTGCACACAAGGGGTCACCATGAGTCAGAATCAACAGGTGACAACTGACAACAACAACTCCATACCATGTGACATGTTTCTCTATGGAAACTCTCCCCTCCCTTCTCTTTGCTATCATTCTGTCCTGGTTTTCCGACCTCTGTGACTCTGAATCCTCTACTGGCTTTGCTTTCTCTGTCTCATCAAAGAGGAATCCCTGTGACTCAGACTCCTACCTGCTACTCTTATCTCTTTACCTTCTCTTCTTCCTGTGCACTCACCCTTACACTTAAAAGAATTCTCTGTAGAGCCTCTTGGAGGGCAATTTAGCAATATCAAAACTTAAATGCACATAACCCTTGACACAGTTCACTTCTAGGAATTCATCTTGCAACTGGGTATATATATACACACACATGTGTAGAACAATTGATCAACCAGTTATTGACTGTAACATTTTAATAGCAAATAATTAGAAAAGAATCTAAATGTTTATCAACAAACCCAATGATTGTCACAGTCAAACTAAAGCAGCATGGTTTAGTTCTTAGTAGCAGAAAGAAGAGAGGAAGAATTAATTTGTGAAAATCAATAAGAGACTAGTGGAATGGTTAAATAAGTTGTATACTATGCAACAACAAAAAAGGAAATCTTTATGTATTGCCAGGGATTAATTTCCAATATATATTAAGGGAAAAGCAAGAATGTGCATACTTATGAATGCAAAGAATATCTCTAGATATTCACACACAATTAAAAAAAAAAAAAAAAAAAACTGGTAAAAGTAGATGCCTCTGGGGAGAGGAACCTGAAGGGTTAAGAAGAGATGGGACTTACTTTTCACTACCCTTTATACTTTTAAACTTTTATTTCATGTAAATGTGTTTCCTAAGTTAGGAAAAAACAACAACTCAAGGTTATAAAAGCAACCTAAATCATAACTCTATGTAAGTTGGTGACCTGCAGAACACTGTTTTAGGGAGAGCAGGAACTGTGAAGTCAGGCAGACCTGGATTCAAATCCTAGCTCTGCCGGTTAGTAATCAAGAGACCCCGAACAATGCATTTAACCTGATGTAATTTTCTTATCTGTGAAAAGGGCTGGGAATGCACTTATGGCAGGTGATGAAACATTTTATGTAAAGGTTCAAATAGTAACTGTCTTAGACTCTGTGGGCTGAGTCACTGTTAAAACTACTCTACCAAAAAAAAAAAAAAAAAACTCACTACCATCAAATTGATTCCATCTCATAGCGACCCCTGAGATGGGTTTCTAAGGCAGTAAATCTTTATGGAAGTAGATTGCCCAGTCTTTCTTCCACAGAGTGGCTGGTGAGTTTGAACCGCCAACCTTCTGGTTAGCACTCAAATGCTTTAGTAGTCAAACGCCTTAGGCACTATGCCACCAGAGTTCCTTACAACTACTCTACTGTAATAGATATTGTAACCCTGGACAGTTTCCAGGTTAGGTACATCCAATTTACGTACAACCTGTAGTTTCAGACCAACTCCTGTAAATCCTATTATATAAAAAATTCAAAGGACAATGAGCATCAAAACATTATTAGTGTATTAGTATGTTAAAGGTGTTTTAGCATATCTGGAAGTTTCTTTAATGTTTTTATTCACAGAAAGGTGTACTGTATACTGTATACTAAGACTAATATTTGATTAACTGATGTTGAATAGGAACCATACCTAAATGTTCTGATTTATGTACAAATTCGACTTAAAGGCAGACTTAGAAATGTAGCTCATTCATAATGCAAGGACTGACTACCTGTAGAGGGAAAGCGGCCTAGACAATGTGTAAACAAAAGGGTGTGGCTGTGTATGGAGACTGAAATGAGAATTTCATGTAATTTCACATGTCACACAGCATTATAGGCATACCTTGTTTTATTGCACTTCACTTTATTGTGCTTTGTTGATACTGTGTTTTTTACAAATGGAAGGATTGTGGCAACCCTGTGTCAGGCAAGTCTATTGGGACTATTTTCCTAATAGCATCTGCTCACTTTATGACTCTGTGTCACATTTTGGTAATTCTCACAATATTTCAACTTTTTCATAATGCTATTGTACACTTAATAGACTACCAAACAAAAACCAAACTCATTGCCATCAAGTCAATTCTGACTCATAGTGACCCTATGGGACAGAATAGAACTGCCCCATAGGGCTTTCAAGGTAAATCTTTATGGAAGCAGACTTCTGTGAAACAGCTGAAGGGTTCGAACTACCAACCTTATTTTAGGAGCTGAATGGTTAAATAAGTTATACAGTGGAATTGTATACTATGCAACAACAAAAAAGGGAAATCTTTATGTATTGCCAGGGAATAATTTCCAATATATATTATTATGGGAAAAGCAAGAATTTTTATACTTGGTGTAACCACTATGCCACCACAGCTCCTTAAAGGACTACAGTATAATGTGAGCATAACTTTTATATTAACTGAGAAACCACAAAATTCATGTGACTTGCTTTATTGCAAACCGAACCCACAATATCTCAGAGATATGCCTGTATTCTCCTTCTGATTTTTTTTCCTCAACCATTTAAAAATGTAATAGGCAGTAGGTCAGGTTTGGCCTGTGGGCCATAGTTTTCCAACTCCTGATACAGACAATGCAGGTAAAGTACCTAGTACAGATTCCTTGACTGGTGCCCAGAGCTTTTGAGTGCCCCTGCTGTCCCTATCCTTTGGTCCCTCCCTTAGGATTCCTGGACTAGAGCCATGCATCTAGGAGGTCAATGTCTGGTGCAGCCAGGGCTACAGAACCCTGCTCCGCTGGCCACTGTCCATGACCAGTGTCTCTTTCCTGTACCAAAAATTTTAAAATGCCAGTTGTTAAATATTTAAATGTTACTCCTGCTGTGAATCTAAATCCAAATGCCCTGGCCTTCACTTGGGGCCCTTTGAGGTCTGTCCAGCCCAGCTCATCTCCTTAGTGTCTACCAAACTGGCCTTGCAAATTCCTAACTCCTTGCTTTGGTTGATCGTGTTTTCTGCCATCATCAACAACACTACACATTCTTTATCACAACCAAACAAAAGCAGAAACATCCCTTCTTTTCCCTCCTCCGAAAAGCCTTTCCTCATTGTCCTGGCCTGCTGTGGTCTCTGATTGTCCACTGCCTTGTCCATGTACACTTAGCACATGTTGCTCATGCTGTTGGGGTTTTATGTGCTTGTATCTTATCTCTCCAACTGGACTGCAGTCTCCTGAAGGGAAGTGTATTAATTTCCTGTGGCTGCTGTAACGAATGACCACAAATTAGTGGCTTAAAATGACAAAAATTTATCCTGTCACAGTTCTGGAGGCCAGGAGTCCAAAATCTCCATCTGAAGCTTCTAGGGGTGGCGGACCCTTCTTGGCCTCTTCCAGCTTCTGGTGGTTCAGGGGTTCCTTGGCTCGGAGCTGATGTCTGCCTCCCTCTTCATATGTCTTTCTCCTCCTCTCTCTTCTGTGCTCAGAGAGACACTTGGTATTAGATTTAGGGCCCACCCAGATAATCCTGGATGGTCTCATCTCAAGATCCTTAACTTATTACAAAAGATTCTTTCTCCAAATAGGGTCTCACTCACAGGTTCTGGAGATTCAGATGTGGCCATATATTTTGGGGAGCCACCATTCAACTCACTACAGGCAGGAATCCTGCTGTGTGCTTTTCTCCCTCTCCCAGCCCCTAACCTTGAGACTAGAGGAGCCTCAGTCACTGTCAGGTTGAGGGAGAGCAGGAATCCCTCAGGACCCTTTGGACCTGGGGGCAGACCCTATTCAAGGTGACAGAGAAGGCATCCTCTTCCCTAGGCCACTCACCCTGAGCCACCGTGGGTTTGTCGTTGCTGTTTTTTGCCCAGAGACTGTGCTTAAGGGCTCTATCCACATGGTCAATCAGGGGCCTCCCCCAGCCTCTGGCCAATACAATGAGTGATGATGGGTTTAATCATATATTTACTTATGTGGCTTTCTGAAAATATTGTTACTTTAACTTTTTTTAAGCAGTTAGCACAAGTGTTTGCTTATTGTAGAAAATAGGAAAAAGCGAAAAACAAAAACCCCACCTGTGTGTGTGTGTGTGTGTGTGTGTGTTTTCCCTTGATGAGATCAGGTGACACATGCTTTTTACTAATTTGCTTTTTAAAAAAGTGGGTTTACAACATAAAAATGTCTTTAACATACCAAAAACAAACCTCTGAAAAAAGGACAAAAAAAGATGACTTACTTGTAAGCTCTAGCATGAACCCCAGGATCTAGGTCTGGCCCATACTGATCTTCTGACCCCCAGAAGATACCCCCAGAAGACACCTGGTCCATAGTGGAAGTTGACCTAACCTCCTTTTTTCACACCCAGGGTCTCGAGTCCCCAGGGCCTGGGCAGGCATGAATTTGAAGGTACAACCCCAGGAGCCCCTGGTGCTGAAGAGTGAGGAGAACACAGATTGGCACTTAGTGCAAGGTGCCACGGATATCAGGGTAGAGGTAAGGTGCTGAGCTGGGTCCTTGATTCTCCTTGGTTCTCCAGAGGATAGGCCAGCCAGTGGCTGGGGACAGGGTGGGAGTGATAGAAGCTGAGGATGCATTTAATGCCTAGTCTCTTTGCTCTCCCCAGGGGTGTGTGTGTGGTGGCGAGAGTCTGGGGAAGCCCAAGGGTATCAGCTGGTGTCTGGCCTAATGGTTACTCCTGTGTATAGAAAAATGACCCGGACCAGGTGGAGCTGTGGGGACTCAAGGAAGGCACCTACCTCTTCCAGCTGACAGTGGCCGACTCAGATCAGCCAGATGATACTGCCAACGTCACAGTCACTGTGCTGTCTGCCAAACAGACAGAAGGTGAGGGAGAGGGAGGGGAGGAGACACCTGGAGTCACACTCTGGTAATTGGCTTGAACACCCCCTCTCACACACTACTGTCCCCCTAGAATATTGCCTCGCATCCTACAAGGTGGGCCGCTGCCGGAGCTCCTTCCCCCGCTGGTACTACGACCCCACAGAACAGATCTGCAAGAGTTTTATTTATGGAGGTTGCTTGGGCAACAAGAACAACTACATTCGGGAAGAAGAGTGCAAGCTAGCTTGCCGGGATGTACAAGGTAGGCCTTTGAAGGCAGCTTTGGGGCTCAGTTGGCATGCCCTCAGGGATGGTGGTCTCTTCACTGATCAGGGAGGTGGGTGGTAGGAGTCCCCACTCCCAGGCCCAGCCCTGCCTCTTCTCACTTCTCTGTTCTCTCTCTCCCAGGCCCCTCAATGGAAAGGCACCATCCAGGTGGGTTCTGTACCTTTCCCTCTGTCTCACACCCCCACCAGGTATCCAGTCCATGTCATGTCCACACCCCTGACCATTCCTGCCCTAATAAGATGTGGAAGGATCACCATCGCCCTGCCCCTTCCAGCCAGCATCCTCTTGCCTGGGTCCCCCCGTCTTGTGTGTAGGAGAAGTTGGGGTGGTGGTAGAAGGGGAAGCGGGGGAGTGTCATGATTCTGTGGAAGGCAGAGGCTGGACAGATGGTGGGCCTCTGTGTTCCACTCTGACCTCACCCTGCCCATCCTGCCCCCACCCAGTGTGCTCTGGCACCTGTCAGGCCACCCAGTTCCGCTGTGGCGATGGCTGCTGCATCGACAGCTTCCTGGAGTGTGATGACACCCCTGACTGTCCTGATGCTTCCGACGAGGCCACCTGTGAAAAATGTGAGGGCTGGGAAAGGGAGAGGGTTGGGCAGCAGAGTGAGGGGGTCCTGAAAGCCCTGCCTGAACTGCTGGGAGACGCTCATAGGTCTGTGCTTTTGACCTCTCATTTCCACAGACACCAGCAGCTTTGATGAGCTCCAGAGCTTCCATTTCCCCAGTGACAAAGGTGAGAGCTCCCCATCCCCTTGAGGGTCAAGGCATGCTTTGGCACTGCCAGTCCAATCTGCCAGCCTCACTCATTCCATCACACTTGAAGGAACCTGCAGTGAGTGCCAGACTGGGCAGAAGGAGCTCAGGCTGGGCCCAGCTCTTCAGATGAGCAGCCCATTCCCTGGCTGGCTCCTAGGCTCTCTTCTCTGGCTTATGTTTCTAAGCCTCAGTTATTATTTTAACACTGTTAACACTTCAGCAGTGCCCACATAGCATTGAGATGTTATTTACTTAATATTTTTTCTATAAATCAACTCTTTTTCTTTTTACTTAATGTATTTTAAAACGGAAATTTCACATCACGACCATAAATGGAAAGCCACATTACTTGCTACAATTGGAGAGCAACGATCAAAATAAATGTAATAAAAGAATGTTTATCAGTTTTAGCTGGACACCATTGCCTGTCAGGGCTCAGACCCTGAGGCCCATCCTCTTCGTTAAAAAGGCACATTAGCTCCTGTTAGAAAAACTGAGGCCTCTTCCTTGGCACAGAGAAGTTGGGAGGAAATTAAAAAGGAAGTAACTGTGAGTCAACGTAGCTTACTTCTGTGCTCAGGATTCTTGTCCAGTATCTGTGTCCCTTGCTTCTGGCAACAGTGCCCTGGGCTCCTGAGACCCCATGAGCCATGGCCCACTCACAGCATGAGGTGGGATTGGGAGGTGGTGGGCAGCCTGGTGGATGGTGCAGGGAGGCCCCTGGACTCACTTGCCCCTCTGTCTACTGTTCCCTCCAGGCCACTGCGTGGACCTGCCAGACACAGGACTCTGCCAGGAGAACATCCCCCGCTGGTACTACAATCCCTTCACTGAGCGCTGTGCCCGCTTTACCTATGGTGGTTGTCATGGCAACGAGAACAACTTTGAGGAGGAGCAGCAGTGTCTTGAGTCCTGTCAAGGCATCTCCAGTGAGCAGGATGGATGGGGATTGAGGGGAGAGGAAAGGCTTAGCCAGAGTCCTCTGCTCTGTCCCAGGGTCCAGGCTGGTCACACCTCTGTCCCCAGAGTGCCTGGAGTGGGAGTGGAGGAAGATGGCAGTGGGGCGTGTCTTCATTTCCTAGTATGGCTATAACAGCAATACCACAAGTAGGTGGCTTTAAGGAACAGAAGTTGGTTTTCTCACGAGGCTAAAAGTCCAAAGTCAGGGCATCGGCTGTAGGAGTGTCAGCTCTCGGGGAAGAGCCCCAACTCTTAGCTTCTGTAGCCCTGGCATTCCAGAGTTCCTTGGCTGTCTTCACTGACATCTCTCTTCCCCTCATTTGTGCTTGCTTTTGTGTCTGATTTCCTCTTTTGATATCTCAGAAGTGACTAGGTTTAGGACACACCTTACAATGACATGTCCCATTAGCATAGCAAAGAAAACATTCCCAAACAGGATCACATCCACCGATACAGCAGATAGGATTCCCATACAGCAGATAGGATTCCCATACAGCAGATAGGATTCCCATACAGCAGATAGGATTCCCGTATATATTTTAGGAGGATACAGTTCAATCCCTTACAGGGGGCCTGGGACACTGGGGAGCAGCTGAGTTTCAGAGTCCTTAGTGTTGACTGGTCTCTTTCCCCATCACTTTGCAGAGAAGGATGTGTTTGGTCTGCGGCGGGAAAACCCCATCCCCAGTGCAGGTAAGCACTGTACTGCGCTGTCTTGGAGGTTGGTGTATAGGTATCAACTCAGAGATCAACTCCACATGCTTGGTGGTGACTACCCAAAGCTGTGTTGAGAAGGATCCTGAGGTTTGCCTATCAGGACAGAGTGCCACCACCATATCATACCTGCCATGGGCAAAGAAGGGAACCATAATAGGATGCATGCTAGGTATTTGACATCTGGGTCCCAGGCCTTCCCTCAAGCTTCTATCAAGTAGAGCCACTTGGAGCCTAGACCTGAGGCCCACCAGAACCCCTTCCTCTGAGCTCCTGATAAAGTTGTCAGCCTGCTCATGTGCTAAAGGTCTGAGTTGAATGTCCATACCCTTCCACAGCTGGCACACATTCTGACTTTGTCCCTTGGATACAGTATGAGGGTGAGCATCAGGACGGGGAAACCCCTCATTCTGTCCTTTCTCTCCCACAGGCTCCGTGGAGGTGGCCATTGCAGTGTTCCTGGGTGCCTGCATCTTGGTGGTGGTAGCCATCCTGGGTTACTGCTTCTTCAAGAACCAGAGGAAGGGCTTCCGCAGACACCATCACCACCGCCCCCCGCCCCCCACCCCTGCCAGCTCCACGGTCTCAACCACTGAGGACACAGAGCACCTGGTCTATAACCATACCACCCGACCCCTCTGAGCCAGGAGCTGCCTTGGCCCTTTGGTTGAGACGTTCCCTCCTTGCCAAGATGGAGGCCTGGGCTGGGAAAAACTTTGGGACCAGAATCCTCCTGCCTGTGCCCAGACCCACTCTTCTCAGAGGCCAGGGGTCTAGCTCCTCCTGGAGGTGTCTCAGCTGAGCTCAGGCCAGATGTTTCTGAGAAAGTTCAAGGGTCTGGAACAAGAAAACCCCTGAGCCATAAGTCCCATACACAGGTGGACCTGTCTCTTCAAGTGCCTGCCTAGGATTTCAGAGGAAGTTGTTTTGTTTCCTATTCAAAACTGCCTGCCCCTGCCCTGTGGCCACCTTAGGGTGAGGAAGGGACATGGGATGGTGTCAGAAGCTGGAGGATCCCAATCTTGTCCTCCAAAGCCGCCCCTTCCCCTCTACCTAGTCCAGGGCGGAAACGAGGGACATTTCTGTATATTTTGTTGTAAAGAGTTGCTTTTTTGTTTATTTAATGCTGTGGGGGTAGATGAAAAGGAGTGGAAAGTAGATGACTGGTGTCTACCTCTTCTCTTCCTCTTCCATCAATATGGTGACCTTGATCATCCTCAATTGGCCCGGCCTGACTGGCAGAGCCAGAAAAAGGGTCAGGGGCGGGGAAAGGATGCATCCTCTCCTCTCCCCCTGACCCTCCCTGGGCTCTCCCAAATCACATCTCCACCCTCTCCTCACTTCCCCTAGGTTCCAGTCCACCCACAGTGTAATAAAATGGTTTGGTCTGTGGCCTTGTGCCTCCATTCTGTGGGCCAGGAAAGGGACACAGTTGCTGGGGGAGATGGGACTGCCCAGTCCAACTGGTTCAGGCTTTAGTCACTTTGTTCAACAGGTTTTTCTGCCTCTCCTGAAACTGCCCCAACCCCTGAGGGTATAGAGAAGTGCCAGATTTGACCACCAGAAGGGAGGGGTGAGAGGGTCATGGGTGTGGGGGGCCAGAGAGGCTGCAATGCTACCGTATAGCATTATTTCTTCCTGGTCTGAGCCTCCCAAAGGACTGTTCAGTGGCTGGGGCAGGTGTTACCCTCAGTGTGTTGATATGGATGGGGGGAGGAGTTACTTACTTGAACTCTGGTCTTTTGTACCAACTCCCTTTGGCATAGCAGCTGGGAATGGGGGTCCTATCTGGCCCAAGTCACCAGCCGTCTGCCTTCCCACCCACAGAGAGGAATTCAGGAATGCTTCCCTCCCCAGCTCTGCACTCCTGCCCAGCAGCCTTTAGTTGAACTTTGTTCTTTGATCTTTTCTTAGTGCCCCCCGAAATCCTACTTTATTCAACAATTTATTGAACTCCTATGTGCCAGGCATTGCCGGTCATTAGAAATTTGGTTTGTCAAGACAAGTAACCATTTACATAGTTCTTAATGTGTGGAAAGCAGTACATAAGTCCTTTACATACCTTAGGTTATTGACTGTACACAGCCTTGTGATAATAGGTCCTATTATCCCAATTGTGCAGGTGAAGAGACTGACTTAGTGAGGTTAAGTGAATTCTCAAAGTCTTAGAGCTGGTATGGGAGAATTGGATTCACACCCTACAATATGGCTCCAAAGTTTGAGAGAGAACTTTAGATTGGGATAAGGGCTATGCAGAAAAATAAGGAATGTGAAAGAGGTTGGAGCTACTTTCAAACAACTGAAGTACGGCCTATGTGAATGTTCATGTAGGAAGCCATAACTTCACACTCCTCTGAGGCAAGTACCCAGATCAGTTTGAGAAACAGGCTCACTAGCACCCTGGAGCTCTAGTGGCCGTAGTGCTTAAGGCATTTGCTACCCAGAAGGCTGGCAGTTCAAACCCACCAGCCACTCCTTGGAAGGAAGACTGGGTAATCTTAGAGGTACAGCCTTGGAAACCCAAGGAGGGGTTGCTATGAGTGGGAATGAACTTGAGGTCAGTGAGTTTTTTTGAGTACCCCAGAAGGATGGGCCTCCTTTTGATGGGGACACTTTCACTTTTCCATGTTTTTTGTACATGAGCTCTGAGCCTATACCACCCCTACCTCTCATCCCTCAGCCTAAGTTCTTGTTCATGAAACCTTCCCACACACACCCAGGTAGGGGGCTCTCCCTACATCACATGCTGTATCTGCTAACAGGACCTGGGCACAGAGTACCTTTTTGCTTCATTTACCTGGCTTCCCGCTGAGTGTAAAATTCCTGGAGACCCATGTCATCCCTGGGTCTGCAGCACCCCATCCATACTCCCTCCATGACAGCAGTAAATGGTTCACTAACTGCTGAGTAGATGGCAGGGTGGGGCTCGTTACTCTGCTTTGGCACCTGGAGCACCATATTTTCCCTCTTGTTGTTGTTGTGTGCCGTCGAGTCGGCCCCGACTCATAGCGACCCCTCCTTGGGTTTCCGAGGCAGTATCACTACGGAAGTAGGATTGCCCAACCTTCCTTCCGAGGAGTGTCTGGTGGGTTTGAACCGCCAGCCGTCTGGTTAGCAGGCAAGTGTCTTAGCCACTATGCTACCAGAGCTCCCTATTTTTGCATGCCACTCACCCAGCCTTCATGGTCTAACACCCATTATCAGTTCTTTATGACCACTTTCAGGGCTGGGGTGATTAATGACTCATTAAACTCTGTATCTACATCCCAATGCCTAGAACAGTGGTCAACAGGGTAAGTGAGATGATGCCAGGCAGAGCACCATCCCTGTAGTAACTGCTGGGATCATCTGGTGCTGGGTCAGCTCTGGTGGTGGGAGCAGCAGTACCTCAGGGGGCCATTAGGGGGTGTTCTCACCACTCGGGCGCTGTGCTCTGCAGCACAGGTGTGATGAGAGTACAGCAAGCAGGTGTTGGGTGTGGCACAATGAAAGCTTGAGATGCGCCCCTGTTTTCCTGGAGTTTACACTCTAGTGTGCTGGTGGCAGAGATAACACAGGATGCAAATACTGTAACAAAAGCACTTGGTCCCCAAACTCCGACTTTTCTCAGTCATCCTCTGCTCCATACCCTCCTGAATGGCTTTTCCTTTCTCAGGACTTTGCATAGGTGGTTTCCTCTACCTCAAATGCCCTTTGCCCATGGAAAGCCCCAATCCAGCCCAAAAAGCCTTACTTGGCTCCAGCCAAAGGTCATCATTTTCCTCTCCTTTCTCTCGTGTTGTCCATAGCCCTGCTGCATAGAAGTAAGCCAAGTTAGCGCATGTCTGGAGCCCTGGGTAGTGCCAATGGTTAACACGCTCAGTTGCTAACCAACAGGTTGAAGGTTCAAGTCCAGCCAGGAGCACCTCAGAAAAAAAGTCCTTTGGAGCACAGTTCTACTCTGACACATGTGGGGTCAACATGCGGCAGAATTGACTGTACCACGGCAGCTAGTTTGGTTTCTTAAGTGTATGTCTGCCCTCATCTGGACAGGAAGTTCCTGGAGGCAGAGACTGGGTCTTATTTGTCTCACTAACCCCCATGCTAGGCTCTGCTTGTTGGATTAAAGCAGAGGCCAGTCCAGCCATGAAGATTAAGGAGGAGGCTGAGAAATAGTTTCATTATAAAATGAAATGAATGAGATGAATAGGTAGGTGATGAAGTGTTTCAGGCACAACAAAATCATAGCAAATACTGGGCAGTGGAGATCATGGCCTTGTTTTGTTTGGGTACTGGCCAGCTGCTCAGTTTGGCCCAAGCAGTGAGGGAAACCTGGGAGGTCAGTGGCTAGAGGCCACACTGGTGGGCACTTGGAGAGTTGAGCAGGGAAAAGTGATCCAAATTCAGATTTAAAGGAAAGGATAGGTAAAGGTAAGCAGGCCACGTCACTAAAGGTCACACCACAGGGACAAGGACAGAGAGTAGAAATGCTAAGTAAATTTTGCAAGGTCACCCGTGTGAAGTACGTCGTTGGTATGCAGTAAAGGCTAGTAAAGAAGCTTGTACACTGGCAGCCTGTGACCATGCTTCATTTTGACCCAAATAGTGGTTTAGTTTTTTAAAAAATTATTTGTCAATATGGAAGGAATCGGAGATTTCACATAAAAATTCATATTTCTAGCTTGTTGTGAAAAAGTGGGGGACCTGGCAGTCCTGGGCCCACATTCCTACCTAGCAGCAATCTAAGTGCTGTGTTTCGGGGTCTGCTTAACCAGGCGGGGACCAACCCATCCACAGCCCCATCCAGCTTGCTTGGATCCCCCATCCTCTTGTCCCTTATAACCTACCCTGCCTTCCCCATATTTGTGCATTATCTCCAAAACCATATTGGTCCCAACATTTCAAGTAAACACAAAAGCTGAGTTGTTTCTCCCAAGCCCCTCCCTGACCACTTAAACAAATAGCCCTGAATGAGGAGTGGTTTGTTGTATTGCACAAGACACTCCCTTCCCCACCCAAGCCAGTTAGACTAAAGCCTGGGAAGGTAACTTTAAGCTCCCCTAGGGAGACATCCTTGTCAATAGCCCCATCTGGACTTCCTGACCAAACCCAGAAGCCCAGCTTCAGCCCAGGGGGTTGCCTAGGCCCTCCTACCCACCTACTTGTGTGTCTTCTGTCATTTCTGTGTGGCTACCTTCTTCCACCTACAGAAGCTCCTGGGTCTTGTCTCAGCCGAGAACCAGGAAGCTGAAGAAAATAGACTGTTAAAGAAATAAAGAGGCCCCTTGTTGTAGGGAAGAAAAAAAAAAAAAAAACTATTTTTTTTTTAAATAAGACTGAAAAAGGATAGTTACCCAAACATCAATGGTGTTATTCCTTATTAATAAAATTACAGATATTTTCTCTTCTTTCTGTCAATCTGCATTTTCTACAACGAACACCTATTGCATTTATAATGAAGAAAAGTTACAAAAAAAAAAAAGTACTCAGATATATTAAAGAAAATCATCTAATCGTGATGCTGTGAAATGGAATAGAGACAATGAAGATGGAGAAGGGCTGGTGGGCTTCTAGAGTTCCGGGGAAGAGCTCAAGGCTGGGTAACTTTAGATTACCCGGAAGGAGGGCGGCGGCCAGTGGAGCTGCCAGGCTTTCTGACTTGG